CATCCGCAGTGCCCCCCAATGTTGCTCAAGAATCAGCGTTCATATGAGTGCGATTGTCAATTAAAAAACACATATTGCGCCTATCTGAGGCACCATACCAACACGTACATATTCTGCATGTTCGTCTTTCACTTATAAAAGGCATACATAAGTAAATCTAAGGACCGTAGCACTTATCAAGATGCGCTGCCATGCAACGCTTGCACGAAGAAGCGAGTGTTTCAAACGCTTTGCTAAGCCGACATGGTGGTGGCACCTATCCCGTCGCCTTGCGTTCTACACCTTATCACCTCTGAGACCTCAAGCCCACGCGCTTTGTTTTCCAAATAAAACTGCCAGATGACGCTGATGTCTCACGTGTGACGGGACTTGATGCGTTTGTTAACTTCCGCTGCACGCTCGAGGCACTCTAACGAACACTTCCGGAATACCATTCACCAATTTTCTTGCGATGAACATCAAATAAATGTTCAGCTTACTCTCTCCACACGCAAGACTATCGTATTTCGGTGACATTTGCAGATTACATTCAGATACGGGGCCAATTTTTTCCGCTGCACACAAACCGCACCCTGGGATAGTACACACCAAGTCAGGACTTAAAGAGAGGTTTTGGTGGCCTAGTATGGACAGACAAGTGGAGCTTGCCATCCACTATTGTGTAGTTTGCCAGAATGCATACAAGAGATCCAAAACTGCGGAAACTTCTCTGCTAACTGTTTCCCTTTCAGAGCGGTCATGACAGAAGATCGCCATTAATATCGTCGGTCTCATGAAAAGAGCGCCATACTATTGCCGGTTTACCTCCCTCGTGGAATACTTCTCCAAATGGACAAAAGTGCAGTTCTGCAACGAGGCGTTGACGCACACAAGTAACAAGCTTTCCGATCTCAGTATTTTCTCGAGAGGGCTATCATGACAGGGTGGTGTGCGACAACGACCTTCGGTGTTGCTCCCGAACATTCAATGAGTTCCTGATAATTTGTGTCATTCGCCTCTCCCCCTTCGTCGTACTACTCTCAGGCAAATAGACTTGTAAAACGCTTCAACTGTATGTTCAAAAACTTTGTACAGACAGCTTTGCCAGTAACATTTGCCACTCCAACCAGATGTCGTCGAGTACCTTGGCATCTACCGGTGCACACCACATGAGACACTGGTCGTTGCTCCATAGAAGGCTGCCGAGAACACGTCTGGACGTCGTCGCATCACTGCCTTCTCCTTTTTCTTCAAAGACCCAGCCACCGAGCTCAGCTTGCTGCGTCGTAGGCTGACGCAAACTCAAGAGAGCAGCAGGAAGAAATCAGATTTTCGTTGAGCCACCAAGACGACCAACATCGATTTTTGAGACTTAGTTCAGGTGAGGAAACCATACATCACTTTCAAGGAAGACCTTTCGTTTGTCAGTCCCCGTAAAGTGGTAGAACAGTGCGGATAGTGTTATTTGCACCTCGATAACGGCAAGATATGAAATGCATCTAAATTTGCCAAAGTTTCTTCGTATTCTTATGCTTTGCGTTCACAAAAGTCTTGGAACGTAACAGAGGCTAGCACACCTAGCGTCACCGTCACTGGGCAATCCCGAGCTACTAGCTGCTTGCGAGGCACCTCAAGTGGTGGCTGCGACCCTGCCTGTTCCTGCGACCACCCATGCGGTTCACGACAATGGCACGCTTGGACCACAAGCAGGTGCACCTCTTACTGCTGGGTTGGCCAACCGAGCAGCTTCAGACCCGGACCTTTCTAAACCACAACCGTGTCTGGCTGCGGTGCGTGTTCAACGACCAAGGCGAAGACGCAGTCCAAACGTTACGATGACTATGTGCGATAGATACTAGTTTTTCTCTTGCGCAGTCTGTTTCTTTTTGCATTAGTAATTAGTGTTGCATATGAAGCGTTCTTTTGTAGTTATGCGAACTGTATCTTTCAACACACCTGCAGTGTACTAACACTGAAGGTTTTAAGGGTGCGAACATGTTGTGTCGCTAGTTTCTGTTTTACTTGATAGTCTGGCAGCATTGGTCATGCTACTGTTGTTATGTGTATATCAGTGTTCGGAAATAAAGCGACATTCGGTTTGTTGTGTAATGGTAAGCTTGTATGCTCTTTTTTTTGCGGACCCAGTCCACAGCAGCACAATGCATTGTAACTAGTACACTTCACTCTGATAACACAATTCAATGCAGACTTTAGCCTTGTGAGAATAATACGATTGTCATTGCTCGAGTTCTATAATACACAGGGTGTTTCAATAAATGTGTTCAAAACTATCGAAAATCTGGGAAATCGCGGAACGTTCTTCCGCGTTCTATTAGCGATATTTGTTTGATGCTTTCACATTCGCTTGTCCTGTAGCCACATGAATCTTAGGGTGACTAAAGATATTTTTGGAACAGTGAACCACAAAGGTAAATAAAGAACTTTGTCTTTAGTGCCGTCAAGTAGTTATGTGCAAAAATAAATTGAAGTTCTTCACTAGATGTACTCATTGCTGCTTCGAAATTCCAAAAAGCGGCCTCTAGTAACCGTTGTGAAGTAGTGATCTCCAGCCAATGTTAGCAGTAAACTGAAACCGAAGCGCGGTGGTTCACAACTGCCTCATTCTATACAGATGTTCAGCATTAGTGAACGTTACTGTAGCAACCATCGACCATCTTCCTTGTGTAGGTGTCTGTGCTACGCTTGCAATTGAAGATCTCATGGCACCCTTCGATAACGAACGCGGAACAACAGCACCTCTGTAGTCGTTGTCTCGAACAGTGACGTCTTTGTGGTAGTGTGCTTGTTGCGCTCTTCTACGTTCGACGGCGTTGTTTGCAGCAGTATTTTTCCAAGCAATCATCGAATGACCTTGCTGCAGATTTTTATTACCTTATGGGTTGCTGGTCACATCGTTTCTTATTTAGAATCAGGGAAGTGCGAGCAGAACAGGAAATCGCAGTGCTGGCAAATCGATTCTTTTCATCCCAGCAAACACGCTGAAAAGTGCAGAGGGATGGCGTGGATGGGGGATAAGAAATAGGTGGAAGGTGTGTCTGATGTCACCACACTTGCTGACCTTAACATTCTTTTCTCTACTTTATCGTCGAAATTGCAGCTCATTCTCAGTTTGGTTGTGAGCGCACTAATTATCACCGTCGTGGGCAATTCTAGGACTGTATAGCGTGATACAGCCATGTGTTTCTGACATACAAGTTCACCAAGTCCCGCTGGAGAAGTTTTGTTTCTGCGAATGTGAAACAGCTTGCGAGATGCTTATTTGCAAAACTGGTGAGACGCAAAACTTATGCCGTGTAAGGTCGATTGTGTTAACGTGTCGCATCCGCAAGGTCATGAAGCACATGGTTCTCAAATGGCTAAACAGGTACCACAAATACCATGACGTTTACACGTACAAAAATGATCGACTTCCACATTTGTCTCTTGATGCGAGGTGCTGTGAAATTTAACAGTCGTCAGAGCGTGGATGGCCCTTTAAGAGACTTGAATATTCAGCTAGGTGAGAACCCCAAGAAAGCTTTCAACGATTTGCTCCCCAATTTCATCTTGAGGAGCATATCTAACCTGGTTCTTAGGTTCAATTTAAACAGTGGCGTCAGCTTTTCTTCTAGTGCACAGGAATGTCAAGCTTCTCATTGGAGACTTGGACTCTTAAGAGCTGCCCCTCAAAAAACTGGGCATTCCTCAGGGTTCCGTCGTCTCCACCACGCTGTTTAGCATATTCACGATTGGCCTTTCTGAAAGGCTTGTACGCGTTGAGGACGCCAAGCATACCGCATTTTTCAAACCTTTTTGTATTTTATTATTTTAAATTTGTTTCTGGGTGGAAAGGGCTGGTCAAGCTCTGACATGCAGCTTTTTCTCTTGGCACCAAACCTTGTATACAGTGTGTTTTTATGTACTTGTCTTGTGGTTGAATAAACTCGAACTTAATAAAACTCGATCAACATCTACGCTAAAGATATCCCCAATGGTTACTCCGGTGGCTGCAAGAGTAAATTTGAAGACTTGCCGCAGGCGATCAGCATGATCGTGTAGTACCTCCGCGCCTCTGAAATTTGATGCTCCTCCACCTATTGAAATATTCTACTTTACAGAAAAGAGAAAGGAGGTAGACCCAAATGAGGGAAGGTAGTCTCTGGAGGCACCACAGATTTTGCATTGGTGACGGAGGGGGGGAGCAATAATAACCAGGGTGGGCATCATTTGTATTCCCGGCAGATTTGTCGAATTCAACTGCAGAAATAAAATGACTGTTCCCTAGATACTGGTAACAATATGTGCTAGGTGTGGTTCGCATAACAACATTACTCTTTTTTTAATCAAGGGCATAATAGGCACGCCATGTATATGGCATGGGTACAACCTAATGACATATATATGGGTATACAGTCGCGTGACAATATCCGTTCAAGTTTTCCGTTGACAGCACTGATAAATTTTAATGCGGAGCACTGCGTGTGAATAAATTGGAAAGGTAGCCTTTGCAATAGGTACGCTTCAAATTAGTGTTTTTACTGCGCAAGCTTCTTGACTAGTTTTCGAAACATTAATGCTATAGACCATTTATAAGCAGCGCAATAAAATGTGCGCCTATTAAATCAGGCTACGTTATGGGTTTACAAAAAATAAAGTAGTATGCGTGCTGATAACACTTGGTTAAACCTTAATAAAGACCGACTTGACAGTTAACCACTTTGCTAAGTGTTTCTAACCTTTGTTACTTTCAAATTGAGTTTTACTTTCCTGCCAGTTATGTCATTCAAGCCATGGTTCACAATATTCAGGTCATATAATCTCGTTATGAGTAGTACTGCCCTAACGTTATGGATTCGTAATGACCAGTAATTACATCGGCCATCCACCTACGTTTGCGTTAGCAATAATTTCATTTACCTACTCGAATTTATCTGTACTATCAACGTATAGATAGCCAATGCCTGGTAATTCATCTAATAACTGGGGTCATATTGGTGTGCTATGTTGATTTGTGTTTTTAGGAGGAGCAGCCGGTCGAGCTTGGGGTGACCTATATGACATAGCGATGAGACCTGGTAAGCATATACAGCTTCACTGCGAAGCACTGTTGTGTTTTCTACGGTCGCAAATGCAGAATATTTTATTTCAGCATATTGGTATAACTTCAACCAGCACTTGCTGGAAGAACCGAAACGGCACATTTAGAAGTATGATAGCTCACATTTATTGATGGCTTTCTTGGCGTCCAATATAAATAAGGTGTGCTTTGGCCCCTACCAAAAACTACCATTCGGCAGCTAGTCTGCCATAGCATCTGTTATTAAAAGCCGTTATCAGTTTTGTGAAGTAAAACTCAGTCAAGGCTGTGGAATGTTCAGTAGAAATTATTTCTTAATTGTGTGATTGTGATAGGGCAAGACATTCAGCAGACTGCGAAATACTAACTTCTCAATCGGCTAAGCTTACGCCCAAGAAAAGAAAAGTATAAGTTATTCATGCACACCGCTGATAGCTGCAAGAACAACCTCAGTCTTCGACTAATTTAATGAGCAGTAAAGTGCACCGCCATGTAAAAACGTGACATTGATGATTCCAGTGTTGTAGTTGCTGACAAAGTTAGTCTATAACAAAAACACCATTTGTTGGCGATTTGCGCAAAGTGTTATTGGAAGACTCGAATACATTCCGTAAAGTTATTCTTGATTGAGGCGTGGTTTGAGCAAGGTTGTTAGTGGTTACACGTGTAACATTCTTTTTGCATAAAAAAGCGTACGTGGCAATATTTATCAGTTTTCTCGAAATATTGCGATGAAGAAAATGTGAAACTTCTCACATATTTCTTGTAGTTATTCACCAAAGGTTGTCAACTCTCTTCCTCAAATATGGGTGCAGCCGTTTTTTTATGAACATTTGTTCCTTGGGGACCAAAATCACGAAAACATATTATTAGATTGACCTCAATAAACAAGCTCTATTAATAAGTTATTAGAGCGTAATGAAAAAAATTTCTACGCCGGAAACACAAATTAAAAAGCACCTGCTGTTATTATTTCTGTAAAAAAAGTTAACTGCTACGTGCCAGTTTACAGATCTCACTATCAAGCATGCTGATGAAGACTGTGACTTCATTTCAGCAACATTGTATTCCTTATTGAGCCCCTCCCCACGATAGGGCGGTTCGAACAAACAAGCCCTAAGAAAAATTGCTTTGTGGCGGTCGTTTTTGCGAAGTGGGAAACCGCATTTTAGAAACAGAAAGGGTCCGATGTAACAAAAGAGTCACGCAGATTTTCTGCACGCAGGCTGCCATCCTTTCAGGCAAAATAAAAAGTCTCACGTACGCTTGCACCACACCGATGCGCCCCTGTGGCCATCATTAACCACGGAGAGCAATTTAAGGTATACCTCAACGAGGACAGGTGAAAAATCATTGCGGCGCATAGCAAAAAACAATGTTCTTTTTCGCTGCCCGGGCGAAGTAATAAATGCGGAAGCATCAATATGAATTAAGAGTGGTAGCCAAATTATTTTGGATCCGATATCACGTAATTCAACAGTGTGATGGCTTGAGGAGTATGGCCACTGCTGGAACCTAAAGGGATTTCTTGCTAGCACCACAAAAACCACTTAAGCAAGTCAATGGAAGCAAGAAAAATCTTCAATTATGGCGGTTTAGAGGTTTATGTAAACGCAACCATCCACAAAACTTGAAGATTGAAGCGTGGTAACTCGGGCAAGTTAATAGGGCATAACTGAGTATACGAACAAAAAAATGGGAAGTAGATACGAAGCGCAAGTCGTAAGAAAGTAAAAGCCGAATTCTCCGCCTCTCATTTCCCATTAGCAGCCATTGGCATGCACATTGAGCACTATCTGACTGAAAAAGTTTGCTACGTTATACTCGCTAGGCGTAACCTCCTTTGTTTTCGAAAGGTTTAGCGAGCGTCCGGTCGCAGTGCCATGAATACAGTGAAATAGTATATACCATGAACTCGAGGTGGTTAAAGGTGGGAAGTGGACCCGAAGTGCAAGCCGTAAGAAAGTGTGTGTGTGCCACCTCTCGTTTAGTCCTTAGAATGTCCGCTGGATGGCGGTGCTTCTATATGGGGAATATATGATGAAAAGATGCGAGATGGTGGTACTTGGAATGTTGAATAGATGGACGAACGGACACATAGACAGATGCATGGATGGACGCATGAACGGACGCAGGGGCGGCTGCATGGACGAACGCAGGGACGGACGCACGAACATACGCACGCACGGACGGGCTGATGGACGCATGGACGGTCACACTGACGGACGCATGGGCGGACGGAAGCAAGAACGAATGGACGGACGAATTTTCGCCCCACTCTCCATCATTCACTCCGTGGATATGCTGCCATCTTTTTCATTCAGGTTGTAGCTCCCATTATGCTCTAGTAAATTTTAAACAATGCACTCAATGCAATGCATTTGTCTTCCAGGCCCAACAATTTTTCAATCTTCCCCGAATAGAGCGCATTCTGTTGACCATTACAATATGCATAATACTACTACAACTACTACTACTACTACTACTACTACTAATAATAATAATAATAATAATAATAATAATAATAAACAGAAGATGAAGAATCACGATAATATCTGTGTCCATAATACCTGAAGTTATTGAAATAAGGCATGACGAGCTTTCCTTCATTATTACACGGAGCTGCCAATATTCGATATGTTCAAGAGCAAGTTAATCGTTTCACCACTGATTTACTATAGATGCGCAGTCGCGCTAAACGCTTATTTTCTAATGGCTCTAAAAGAAATGAACAGCCCACTTATTGAAGTGTGTTGTGTAAATATGTCTACAGAGTTCGTCATGCTTACTGAAGACGTGCATTGTGCATTTTCCAGTGGTTGCCACCGACATTACTCGTCCTGACTTGATAAAGGGTGGATCATCATCGAAGAAATGCAACCAGTGCTCTTGCAAGCTCACCTGGGATTTGACGGAATATAAAAAGCATAGCTGTACAAGCCAGTTTCAATTCACTTGTACGTGCAACGCTTACACCTGCGAGAAGAGAGAAATTCAGCACTGCATGGCACTGGTTGCTAAATATTTTTAAAACAAAAAACAAACGCCGTGCCCAGCACTGTTCAGACTGATTATAAAATCTTTTTACATACTTCATTCGAACAGTGTGTCTATGGTGGTTTTGGGACGCTAAGCCACCGCACGTATGCATGTAGAGGGTTTTAATGCGACAGCATGAAAGACCTGGTTTCGCAAACAGTTTCTTGTCGGCTTTGGTGAGCGCATTGTTGGTTTCAAGCGAAGAATTATTATTTCATTTGTGACATAAAAATTGAGAAACATGAAATAAGATAACAAAACCTTCAGTGTCCAAGTTACGACCAAACCCAGGCCGTCTGTGTGGTTTTCTATCACAGAGCCACAATATTTGTTAAAACTTTTTTTCGAAAAAGCACTGTGCATATGCATTTAGCGAAAGGAGTCACCTGAACGCATCAGATATTGCGTGTTAGAAGCGTAGAATCATGCCAAGCATCACATGTGCATTAGGCAAAGAGTTCGTGTGTTACAGGGGTCATGCAACACTTCTTGAGCGTGGTTAGAAAACGCTGCCGATAGGTAGTGAGGATTCCGATAACACGCGAGCCAATTGCTATAACGCAGCACGTGGCCTGGGATTCACAATAAATTATTAAAGTCAGCTAAAACTTGCTTTCAATTCCCTCAACAAATGACGAAAGACACCCAAGAAGGAAACGTAGCAAGCCCAATTTTCAGCCATTGGCTAGTTAGAACATGACGTGCTCGGTCGTTACAGAGGCCACCACTTGTCTACGTGCGTGATCACACTGAAAAAGCCGCGTATTCGAATAAAATGAAAAAGTGCTCACCAACCTCTCCTTACATACATTTAAAAAAAAGTGCTCAAGGTCACCAAGCGTGTGTGACGTTTTTTGTTTGCCCCTCTCATCTCTCCCTGCTAAGCTTCCAGCGCTTTCATCCACGCGAGAGAAGAGAGAATGCGATTGCAGCGTGTGACAAATCTTTGACACTCTGCTCGTACACGACGGGTTCTTAAAATAAGCACTTCCAGCGAACTAACTTTATGGTTTCTCAAAAAAGTGTTTTAGGGCCCCTTTAAAGCCCCAGTGATTACAAAGCTCATAGGCATATTCAATCATCAGCACCAGCAAAACAATCAACACTGTCAACAGCTGCGTAAGCGCGCATGTTGACCTACGGTCTCGTAGTGGGCCCTTAGCTAATTCCAAAAAGTAATATTACTGGCTAGTGGGCATTTAACAGCTGTGCTTTCAGTAGCATTCAATTATACTTTGAAACGACCAATGTTACGCGCACAGTCATTCTTTTTCTTAGGACGTAGCTGAGGCCAGCACCGAGCACCGAAGCAGGCTAGCTGTTCAGAAGACGCTGCGCACGAGGCTCAATCACGCTACCACGATCCACACTTGAAGGCGAAACTAAAACCTCTGTAGTGACAAATACGGGCTCTAAGAACAACGAAAAAGACGTTTGTTGTGGCAGAGGCTCGTGCTGCTGCAGCTGCTGCTGAAACCGCTGGCTGCGCTCTCGGTGCTGTTCGGCCCATTAAACGGTTGCATCACTCCGGCGTGCGTCTAGCAGTATTCTTACATTTGGTCGAGAGTGCTGCTTGTCTCAAACTGGAACTCCGTTCCCGGACTCTACCTCAGCCCCTCGCCTCGTCAATGCCTGACAACAAGACCCAGCACCCTGCAGTGATAATTCCATCTGTCACCTGTTCCGGAATGCCACGACAGCGAGATCCAGTGATTTTCAACGCGACCGACGACCAAGACGCCGAAGACTGGCTGTCGCAGTATGAAGCGGTAAGCGCCCACAATAAGTGGGATGACACAGACAAGCTCGCTTACCTCAATTTCTATCTCGCGGGTGTGGCAGAACTGTCGTTTAACAACCACAAAGCGGAAATAGCCTGTTGGCCTACCTTCAAGGCGCGCTTCGCAAAAGTCTTTGGCCGACCCGCTGTTCGCAAGCTCCGCGCCGAACACCGCCTGCGCTGCCGCGCACAGCGCTCAGGCGAGACCTTTACCTCGTATATTGAGGATGTTTTGGACCTCTGCCGTCGTAGCGATTCAGAAATGTCTGACACTGACAAAATACGGCACATCATGAAAGGTATCGAGGACGATGCCTTTCACATGCTCGTTGCGAAAAACCCGCAAACCGTCGCCCAGCTTATTCAGCACTGTCAGAGTTTCGACGAGCTGCGGAGAGAGCGGATTTCTACTCGACGTCCAAACCTCGACATGACCTCTACATCTGGGTCACCCAGTGGTCTCGTTTCCTCCGAACAAACCACGTTAATGCAGCAAATCCAGCAGTTTGTCCGAGAAGAAGTTTCACGTCAATTTTCTCTTGTGCCGTACGTCCCGACCAGTGAGCACATGCTGACCCCAACGCTCCGCAAGGCAATCGAAGAGCAAGTTTCTGACGCCCTGTCTCCCACATACAATTCTCCGCCTATCTCCGCCCCTCTCACTTACGCTGAGGCCGCCAGACGATCGCCGCCGTCGCTACCAACCATCACGGATCTTGCTAGACAGCCCCGTCCCCTCAACGCAGCAAGTCCTCCTACCCGTCGCCACCCACCTCCTGTTCGCCACCCCACACCACCATCAACAAACCCTTGGCGCACTCCAGACAATAGGCCAATTTGCTATTTCTGCCAGCTTCCTGGTCATGTAGCACGCTACTGCCGTCGTCGCGATTACAACCCAACTGCCGGTGAGGCTACTTACGACCCCTACCGTCCAGAGCCACCACAGCCGTCTTCGTTCCACCCGACGTTGTATCAGTCGCCGCCACGTCGCCGCGGCTTTGACAGGAATCGGTCGCCCTCACCACGGCGCCGCTCTATTTCTCCGATGCTTCCTCGGTCACCACCCGCCCAAACGGAAATCTGACCATCGCAGTTCTCGCGGCAAGAGCTGCGCGTATATCGAAACCTTCAAGGCCTCCGTTTTTACCTGCTAATGAAATAACTGTGCATATTGATGGTGTACCTGCGTTAGCGCTCATTGATACTGGTGCTGCCGTGTATGTGTTAGGTGGTGAACTGTGCCGCAAGTTGAAGAAGCCTACGCTGCCGCTTTCCAATATCTCTCTCCGCACGACCACTGCGCATCACATCCAACCTTCTGCGGCGTGCACAGCTCGACTGGTCATCCAAAATGTTTTGTATGTAGTCGAATTCGTTGTGTTTTCCCCATGTTCACACGATATCATCTTAGGCTGGGACTTCCTCTGCGCTCATCATGCCATCGTTCACTGTGCGCGTGCCGAACTAGAGTTGTCGACGATGTGTGAACTGCCCCTGTGTGAAGCGCCAACGTCTGAAGGACCTTCTTTCAAGCCGCTATCTTCCCAAGTCACCGTATCCGCGGACACTCACATCCCTCTTCTATCCTGTGTTCATGCGCCACTCCTCTGTGACGACGCACCCTGCGTCACCGCCCTCTTTATCCCCTCCGACACCTTCGGTTGTCGCAAAAGCTTCCTTCTCCCGTTCGCAGGTGTCACCGTAGAAAACTCACGTGGCTCCATTTATATAACGAACTCGCTTCCTTCCCCGGCCGTATTATTCCGTGGCGTACTCCTCGGTCACCTTGAGAAAATCGATTCTGTGTCATCCAGTCACCTACCTGATGACTTGTCATCATCTCACTTAAACACCATTACCTCTGATACCACCCCTACTTCATCTTCGGAGGTTTTTTCCCCATTCATTGACCCTAAGCTTCCCGTTGCTCAGCGCACCCAACTGCTGGCTTTACTCGATCGCTTCAAGATGTCATTTGACTATAGCCAACCTTCTTTGGGTCGCACGTCTGCCATCGTTCACAAACTCGACACCGGTAGCCATGCACCTTTGCGCCAGCGCCCATATCAAGTTTCTCACGCTGAACGCCGAGACATTGATGATCAAGTGAACGATATGCTTCGACGTGGTGTGATAAAACCTTCAAACAGACCTTGGGCCTCTCCGGTTGTACTGGTGAAAAAAAAAAGGACGGTGGCATCAGATTTTGCGTTGATTACAGGTGTCTTAACAAGATCACCAGAAAAGATGTTTATCCGCTGCCCAGAATTGATGACGCCCTCGATTGCCTGCAAGGAGCAGAGTTCTTTTCTTCTTTAGATCTTCAATCCGGCTACTGGCAGGTCCCTATGAATGAAGCCGACCGCTCCAAGACTGCGTTTGTAACGCCTGACGGATTGTACGAGTTTAACGTCATGCCACTCAGCCTCTGTAATGCGCCTGCCACCTTCGAGCGTCTTATGGACAACATCCTTAGAGGCTTCAAATGGAACACATGCCTGTGCTATTTGGATGACGTCGTCGTTTTTTCGAAGGACTTCAACTCCCACCTCAGCCGTCTAGCAAGCGTCCTGACTTGTCTTTCGAACGCCGGACTGCAGCTGAATTTGAAGAAATGCCACTTCGCTGCCCGCCAGCTTACCATCTTAGGGCATGTTGTTAGCAAGCATGGTGTCCGTCCTGATCCAGCCAAGCTTCGCGCTGTCGCCGACTTTCCCAGACCAGCTACACTAAAAGAACTCCGCAGCTTCATCGGGCTCTGCTCATATTTTCACCGTTTTGTGCGCAATTTCGCCTCCATAATCGCACCCCTGACGCAGCTACTTGCCGACAACCAAGACCTCTCGGCGTGGTCCCCAGCATGCGACGAAGCATTCGCGTCCTTACGCCATCATCTGACATCACCACCTATCCTACGCCACATTGATCCAGACGCTCCAACCGAAATCCATACGGACGCTAGTGGAGTTGGCCTCGGCGCTACTCTTGCTCAGCGTAAATCTGGCTTCAATGAGTATGTTGTGTCCTACGCTAGTCGCACCCTCACCAAAGCGGAAAAGAACTATTCAGTCACTGAGAAGGAATGCCTTGCCTTTGTTTGGGCAATCACAAAATTCCCACCTTACGTATATGGCCGCTCATTAGACGTCGTGAATGATCACCACGCATTGTGTTGGTTGTCGTCCTTAAAAGACCCATATGGTCGACTAGCTCGCTGTGCACTACGTCACCAAGATTACGATATTCGTGTAATTTATCGGTCAGGCCGCAAGCTTCGGACGCCGACGCTCTTTCTCGCTCGCTACTTCCCCACAATTATGTTGCAGCATCTGTTTCCAGC